ACTAGACCAGGCTGCTGAAAGCCTCATCCAGCCTGGCCTTGAAGATGGCCAGGGATGATTAACAGCTCAAAAAGAAAAATATTTAACATCACCAAGATGACGGCAAGTACAACTGGAAAAAAAATTACTCCATGGATACAATATATTCTGGCACAACATGCTATTGTTGCAACAGCACTACGTATCAGTAAGGTACACATCACTGGCCTGAGGAACGAAGTAGTGTTATCAGCTAAAAGGAAATTGCAAAGACCCACTCCAGATGCAACACTTCAATGCCTTTATTATCCTTGATCTGGAATTACACTGACAGTCTATCTCAGCCCAAAACCACACCCTGCTGCTTCTCCATTAGTACAGAAATAAATTTTAAAAATTTTGAGGTGACCTGACCTTGACAAACCCTGTTACTACTGTATCTTCTAAATACTTAAAAAACCAGCTGTTTTCACATATTTTCCATTACCTCAGAAGATGCTGATTTACAGCTAATTTCAACCACTTGAAAAGAAAAAAATCACACCAACAAATTAATTGATGTACGAGTCTCACCTAATGAAATGATTACTAAGGAGCTTTCATCTCTGCTCTTGCTTTTATTTCAGAAAGATGAGAACATGAAACGCTGAAATGAGAAAGTGCCACAGTAGTGAAATGTTCCCACATCTGACCTACACTATCTGATCGCTCATAAATTGGGTACTTAGTTTCATTTTTAGGAACTGCACTTCAACACTATCTCTTCTTATTGCTCATTACTGGGAATTGTAATACATGTCTCTGTTCTTCAATTCTCAACATATACCTGGTCACCTCATCTCAGTGATGCACCACTACAGAGGGAAAACATTCCTTCCAGAAAACTTGATTGCTAGGAGGAAGCAGCAGTTCAAACTACAGGTATCACACACAAATGTGAAAATACCAAAGTAATTTTTTTTTCTAATTCACTGAAACTGAACCCAACTGGTCAGCTCAAAGAAGAAAATACTGACACAGTCCAACTTACATCAGGAAAGACAGACACAAAACAATCAAATGTAAATGGTATGGGTCCCATCTCAGATAGATAATGCATGGTTTTCAGGTATCTACTAGCAGAGAAACAAATTAAAACTACCATCTCTGCAGAAAGTTTCAAGAGAAGGATGACAAACGACAAAATCTTGGCTTTCTTCTTGAAGACAAAAAGCTAAAAATATTATGCAGCATGGCAAACTACATTAAAATGAACCCAAAGAGGACATGATTACAAGAACAGAAGACAGAATTCCTCAAAGATTATTTAACAGATTATGTAAAAAAAAAAGTTACATTAGCTTGTCGTGGTTTGACCCCAGCTGGCAACTAAACACCACACAGCCACTCACTCGCTCCCCTCGCCCCACCCCCCCGATGGGATGGGGGAAACACTCAGAAGAATAGAAGTGAGAAAACTCACGGGTTGAGATAAAGACAGTTTAACAGGTGAAGCAAAAGCTGCAAACACAAGCAAAGCAAACAAGAAATTCATTCACCACTTCCCATCAGCAGGCAGGTGTTCAGCCATCCCCAGGAAAGCAGGGCTACATCTTGTGTAGCAGTTACTTGGGAACTCCAAACATCCCCCCTGTTCTTCTTCTTTCCCCAGCTTTCCATGCCGAGCATGATGCCATATGGTATCGAATATCCGTTTGGTCAGTTGGGGTCAGCTGTCCCAGCTGTGTCCCCTCCCAGCTCCTTGTGCACCCCTAGCCCACTCGCTGGTGGGTGGTGTGAGAGGCAGAAAAGGCCTTGACTCTGTGTAAGCACTGCTCGGCACGAACAAAAACACCCCTGTGTTATCAACACCGTTTCCAGCACAAATCCAAACCACAGCCCCATAGCAGCTACTGTGAAGAAAATTAACTCTATCCCAGCCAAACCCAGCACATACATATTCTAGGGTTTGGTTTTGTGGCTTTTGGGGTGGGTTTCTGTTTTGGTTCTGTTGGGTTTTAATTTTTGGTTTTTGTTTCTTAAAAGATAAATCAGAACACTAAATTGTCTGTCAAAGACAAGGATGCTGAAAACTTCCGATAAGTAAGTAAACTAATCAAACAAGAAACAGCACTTCCGATGAAGCCGTAAAACTTTAATTGTTTTGTTTTTTTTTTTTTCCCTATAGCAACACATAACCCCAGCTGATGCTAACTGGTCAGCTGTATGAACCAAATTATTCATGTTCTGCAAATTAATTATCACTTAAATTTCATGCTTAGAAGAGTGGGTTGTTAAAAACTACAGCTGATTATCTTAAGTATTCTACTTAAATTTACTTACCAAACATCTCACTAGTCTGAAGTATGCAGGAAATACTTAGAATCTGCACTGGGAACATAAAGACTCTGTGCATTAGCTACATAAAAAAACCCCATTCTGACACTATTTCATGAAATATCATGAATTACCAATTTACTAAAAATCTGAAACAGGAAACCTTCATTCGAGGTACATTATCATCAATGGGTGTATTGCATAAAAACTATGTCCGATAGTAAAACTTCTACATCTCCAGTCTAACTGAACAGCAAGTTCTTACTTTTTTTGTACATACTTTTTGACAAAATAAGTAACCTTCCTCATTTGTGAGGGGGCAGGAGAAATTCAATACCTGCAACATGTATTTCACGTAATATTTTTATTATTTTTACATATAAATATTGTAGCAGAAAAGTAACTTCGGAGATATACATATGACCATGACTGTCATAGCCTCATGAAGTATTTATATGCCATGAAAGAAAAATACATTACACAGTAATTCCACTGTGTTTTCACCTATCATGTCATTGTACTTACCTTGGAATACAAATACAGCTTTACAGATTAAGCAGTTCACAAGAAACGTTTGCTACGGTGCCAGGTTGCAAAGCGTTGCTTTCTATGTGCCCTTTGCAAACTGCAAGCCTTTTGTGGAGCCATGTTTTGCATATCAAAAATACCATTCACCAAAAGATGTATTAAAAAGGTGACAGAAAAAAGTGCTGCACCGTTTTAAAAACACTATGAATCCACATCTTTTTACATACAAATTTCCATTAAGGAGAACTTAAATATCAATTACATACTGCTAAAAAAAAAAAATCAATTTGCTTTAAAAACTGAAGATAGAAGGTACCAAAAGATATCATAATATCGATTTTCAATAATCAGCCCTTTTTCATACCTTAGCACACTGTGTGAATATTACATAAAGCCTCAATAAATTTTATCACTTTATTATAGCTTAAAGTAATATAGAGTAAATAAAAAGTGTCTTTCTAAAACCTTTTTATCTTCCTCCCACTTGAAATGTGATTTCACGTTTAAATATAAAAACTTCGGGATAATTAAACTATTACTGACCATTTACAATGATTTCCATTATTCTTTTGAGATATGGAAAAAGATAACCATTAAAACTAAAATACAGTAGCTTAATTGGTTTGAATAACAGACAATGGGGGAAGAAAATTAATATAGTCATAGAGTTTTTCATATATACACACACATATATTATATATTAACAATCCATGCACTACTGAAGCATTTTAAATTATTTTTCAAATAATTTAAACAGTTACTAAAATATGAACCTGCACACTTCAACTTTTATAGTTAATAGAATCCCTTACAAAACTGTTATAGCAGACATACATTAAATTATACAAATTTAGATTTGCACAATAGGTGTATAAAACCACAAAAAGATACTACATTATTTACCTGGATTTTCAACTTTCATGGTATTCAGACTTTAAAGATGAAGTAATTTTTAGGGCCTATTAAAAAACTGTCTACAATTTAAAAAAAAATAGACCGGCTTTGGAATTTTCAAAATTCTGATGGCTACTACACCAAATTAGTAACAGAAAACCATGAAAATTCTTCTAGCTATGTATTCACATTCCTGACAAAACTTCCTAGTCAGGTTTTACTCATTCAGTGCATACGGAAGTGAAACGTAGTCAGACCTGAAGATAGGTTATTTCTGCTAGCAGGTTAGGAATAACGCTCATCTGCATAAAATCCTACAAGCTCCAAAATAATAAAAATTGTTGCATTGAACTACTAAAAAACCACTGACAACAAGTATGTTTTATTAATACAGCAAGCTGTTAGAAAGAAAGCAAAGTGAAAGCTTACAAATTCATCATTTTTTAAGATAAAAGGGCAGTAAATTAGTCAATCTCCATGCTGGCTCCTTCCTTTGTTATGTGCTAAACAGATCACATCAGCTGTGCCAAAATTAGGAATGCAACATGATTTTACAGAATTATACCCACTATTTATATTGAATTGATACACCCCAAACATGGACTAGGACTTGACAGTCTAATGCTTTAATACTTCATTTTTATCGGTAATGAAAGAAATTCACTTAGAAAGACACAGCTGTGAGATTTTTTGGGTTTCAGTGATAAAATTTAGGTTTTTTTAGTCGGCACAAAAATAAAATCAGTGGCGTGCAGCCACCATGACACTTCATAGGCTACCACTAAGAACAAACAAAAAACCCCAATTCAGGTTACACAGTTTAGGGCTGGTGAGTACTACACTGGCAGAACGCTGCTTCAGGGCCAGATGAGCTGCTGAGACAAAAGAAAACCCAGAAACAAACACCACAACCAAAGCGACAAAATAGATGCCAAAATTTTCTCAACTGGCCATACATGCCAAAAAAACCAAAATGATAATCCAGGACTTAATTGTTTAAAAAAAACCCCACACAAATCCTCCTAAAAGATAAGTCTAAATGAAAACCATTAAAACTGGTTATTATATAAATAACCTCTTCGTCCGGGGCTTAAATTCTCCTTTAAAAGATATCTAGTATGACCTCCTCTTTAAAAAAAACTGCTCAACAGTTACTTCATATATGACATCATCATTGTCTTAGGTTTAAGAAGGAAGACTGCTATATGTCATACTATATTAAATATCTTACTAAAATGAGTTATTACACCTGTAATAAATATAGTTTTAAAAAACATTTAACATACAATTTTATTTACATGTAAGTGGGTAACAACCTCCAGAAGAAAATGATCTTGAAATAGGCCTATTTAAAACAGAGAAGATCCACTACTTCATTGGAGGCGATGATGTGTTTTAGAAAGGCAAGGAACAGATTTTTATTAACTGACTGCACGTGTGTTATCGGCTACTGGAAATACTGTAAGAATCCCACGAGTTTGTATTGCCTCCCCACCTATGTCTTCGCTGCGGAGGTGGCCTTTGAGTGTTTTTGTGGGGAGGTACCACCGAATTCATGACAATAGGTATGGATATTTGATATTCATATCGTTCCAACATCTGAGCAATCTTCTCACGACTGACCCCATGTTTATTCCTCCTACAAAAATAAAAGTTTGTGTAAATTGTCTGTATATTTATATGTTTACAGTCTTTAAGAAAAATAAAACACCTCTCTAATCGCACATTTTTTTCTGTTTTTCATATCTGAAATTTCACTTTTATTACACTGTATCCTCATTCTCTCCACAGTCAACTTGTGTTAAGTTTTAGTTTAAAAATTCACCACTCAAATAATAACAGAAAACAATACAGTCATCCTTCTTCATACAGAAATGTGATATTTTTCACCAGGACTGTGCACCTAAATAACCCTAGAAGAACTTAATTTTCTATTTATTCATTGGATTTTACATGATATACTAGCTAATGTGTAGAGGGATGAATAATATTATAGACTACTACTTAGGAAAACAATGTTCAAACTAGCATTAAAAAAAATGAGGCTACGTGGTTTCAGGACTTAGTGACAGAATATTTTCTCATCAGTAAATCACTATAGAAAACAAGGAGCCATGTTAATTGTGAACCAGAACAAGATGCTCATGATTACCCTTATCTACCTCCTGATATTTGCTGTAAGTTTAGAAAGGTACCCAGACACATGTAAGGGAAGAGAGGCCAAAAGTGTTGTCCTAGTCTTGCAGTGTTTAGTGAGCAGCTACAAGGACTTGGCCTATTCAGAACCTGAGACATTAGACATTATATTAGAATGTATCTATCTCCTTAGTATCTATGGAATAGAATCTTGAAATCCACGTTAGCAGAAAATTTCTGTCTCGGTCAAAAAGAAAGACACAAGGCTCATGCACAAACAATGGCAGAGAACTGCCAGCACTGTAACAGAACAGATATAAAACATTAAAAAAGAAATTTCGATAGTCTAGACAAGCATTTATCATAACCCAATATACTCTTATCACCAAGAAATCTTGTCCAAGCTGAATTATTTCCAAGTCACACCAATAGGGAATATATGGCTGCATCTTTGTGCTTTCTGTCACAGACAGAAGAGGCATGGGCTACCTTACCAACTTGCTCAGCTCTGTTGAAGAGAAAGCAGTACTGGGAACAAACAGGCTACACTGGAAAGAGGATACTCTATACAGAAATATTTTAAGACTGATTTCCTGCCCCACTCCCCTGGAGCTTGTGCATATTACTACAACAAAGAAGTATGCGTCAAATTGATGAGGGTTCGAAGCATACTGCAGGCAGCACACCACTTTCACACTCAGAATAGAAGAATTGATGATCTCAAGTATTCAGAATTACGCTGGCTACTTAAACTGTATTTTATTAGCTTGCTTTCTGGGAGCAAAAGGCTTAAGTAGAGTATTTCTCTCAAAGACACTCTTCCCTGGGACAACATCAGAAGCAGCTTATTGTTTAAATGCTACTAATTTCTACACTGTGCTAAAGAACTCCAGCAGCAACAGCCTGTTGAACTTGCCAGTTAACAGATCTTAACAGTTTTAATTCTAGTCACAAGTATGAACAAGTTTAATGGTAGAGAAAAAAGCAAATCCTTAGAAATATGATGATTTTATAAAGCAGTTGACTCTCATGATGGAAAAAAAAGAGAAGTCTAAGTCCTTTTATGCCAAACATGAATTTTCCTGGAATACAAGTCTGTCTGACATAACTAAAATCCCACACTGAACATCTTAGAAGTGTCTGATTACCAAGACACCTCCATAACTTGGCTGTGCTGCACCCAAAACTAGAAAAACATACTAGAATTCATCCTACTGACTGAGGACTATCTCTAAAAATAAGTTAGTGGTAGCTTAGGAGCAACAAGTGAAAGCTTTGGAAGATTCTAACCACAATGAAGCCCAAGGCAGTAACGTAAGTATTATATGCACGTACGTCGTGCATTGTAGGGGCCTGCTTTACAAAGGTGAAGCCATAAGCTGAGTCAGTTGGAAGCATATAAGCCAACAATCAGTGAGAAAACCCCTTGTGATCAACCATGAAAATATTACATTTCAAACAATGAAATATCCCCAAGGTGGTTTGATACCTCACAGATTCCTAAAGCAGATATATCTGAGACAAGAGACATTAACCAGGAGTAATAAGCAGCTTTTCCCAGGCATTCTCACAACCCAAGTCCAATGACCTATGTCCAACAGTACTCTAAGTCAGATCCTCTGAAGACTGGGGACAATTTCACAAATTCTTGCAACAAAATAATCTAAAATATGAGCTTTCTTTTTAACCTGTACTGATAAGTAATGAACTGACTGTAGTTCATTACTCATCTCACTGTCATGCTGAGACATCTATAAAAGTAGACTAAACAAAGCACTTCTATTGATGCACTCCTTGCAAAATGCATTATTTCTTTTTGCCTTCTACCTATTTCTTGCTGCCAGTGTTTTGTAGCAACAAATGTCTCAGAATAGTTATTCAATGTAATAGCAGTGATTCTTATAGTTGTCAAACATTTTTCTACTCATGTCCAACAAAATTTTAATATCACCGTTTTGGGCCAACAAGACAGGACCTCCCATTAATCTGTCTGTTTATCCATAACACTTCCATTTAAAGATATATCTCCAAATGCCTACTTAAATAAAACACATTTTAAACTAGTATTTAAAAGTAATTAAGTAATTAAGTAATTTGAAGTATTTAAAAAAACCAAGATATTGAATAAAATACAACTTACAATATATATTTATGTGTGCACATTTATCTATCTCTCTATATAAAGTACAATGATTTCTGTTATATAAAAATAACCTTACTTTTCTAATTCTTCAGGATCAAACTTCCACCAAGTATCTGGCTCATGGAACTCCACTCCATATCCCCTTTCCAGAGCCTGCAGCAAGCAAAGAGAAATGCGTGACGTGTATCATTATTACATAAAACGTAACAAAACAATTTACAGACCAGCAGTAACAGATATACTTAACTCTGCAGTGATAGCACGCTGAATTTCACTTACCCCCGGCCAGTCTCAGCTTTCATTCCAGGCTAAGCAGATTAGCTCGAGTCAATTCATGAATTGGTCTGAACTATTGCCATACCAATTACTGATCATATCAATAAGCAGCATCTCTTTAGAAACTTGAGTAACGAAAATGTTTCTGGACAAAACAGACCAACTTATCACATGTGAAGCGAAGTCTGAAAAGTTGTAACAGATGAGATGATCCCACAACAAAACCTACCGCTTCCACATATGGCTTCATTTCCCAGGCTTGAGTATTAGTGTTGTCTATTATAACTGGAGATATCCCCTGCTCCATCGCTTGCTTTGCTGCAATGAGAAACAGCGCAAGGTAACATACAACTGTGTAACTCAAAACATGGTAAACGGAAATAAACGGCTCAAAAAATGGTAAATGGAAATAAATGGTTCCAGATGTGTTTTACACTAATCTAGTCTGACTGAAACCCACTGTTCTAAGAAAAGAAATGAAAGCACTGAAAGGTAGAGACAGGAAGGGAAATAAATAGAAGCAAGAAGGTAAGAAAAATTAAGTGAAGGGCATAAAAACCCCCATGTGGTGGTGAATTGACCTGACGGGGTAAAAAGGCAGAAGTCGAACAAATAACAGAAATGCTCAAAGTCTGTGGCCTGCTGACTACAGAGGTCCTGGCATGACACCACATCCTGGTTACAGCTTTACCAGCTCTGCCAGATAACATGTGGTGCATTCATAACTGAGACCTGTGATTAGGTATGGCAGTTCTTCTCCAACAAACTGCTAAGAAATAGGTGATCTTCACAGAAAGTCATCACATACATGAAATATTTCTGAGATCCATTACCAAAAAAAAAAAAAAAAAATTTACAACCATGCTGTCACCAACTGAATAATGTTTGAACTCACTGGACAACTTCTACCCAATCCAAGAGGGCAGCAGCTTCAGGAATAGTAAGCTGTTTCCAAGTTCTACGAAAGAGTAATTGATAAGAAGCACATCCTAAGTAGCATCTTAATTGCTGGAAAGACAGACAAGCCACAGCCATGATGCAATTTGTTTGGCAGGTCACTTAGGCAACAGCATGCTTTTAACTTGGGACCATTAAAAGTATACTGCTTCTTAGCCAGCAGACGCACCCTAGAGATTACAATGCAGAACTAAGATGGGTTGGAGGAATTTAGGGGACAAAATATGCAAATCTTATGGCTGCCTGAGATTTATCCACTCCACAGGACAGAAAATATTTTAAAGTTATCCTGATGCCTAAATCGGTATATCTTCATAAGACCAAGGCTGCTTTAGTCTTGATAAATCAGTTAAGCATCTACCTTATGCCTAAACCTAACTTTGATCTTGAAATCAGGCATTCTTCTAAATCCCTTACATAGTCCAGAAAGCATTCTCAGAGAACTCCTAACTCACATTACTAGGATTCGTCCCTGAAAAACACAACACGGCACAACCACTTTTTTTGAGCAGATCTAGAGAGCATGATTATGACATTCAGCTTCTACATAATGCTACACAGGAGACTTACCCAAGGAAGTGAAAAACTCAAGTTCTATACCCTTATCAGCTTGATATCCACCTCCAGTTTATACAAACTGGGACAGCAGCTAAGCTATTCTTACTCTAAGGTCAGAAGGAACTCCTGCAGAGGAGAGCACCTGGAGAGAGACCCCACTTTTGGGACAAATGGGCTACCTTAGTTTTCACTGTTTTAACTTCCTCCACCATTTAGTTTTGAAAGCAAGACCTCTGCCAATCTTTGCAGAAAGGGACAACTCTCTTACATCTTTACCTAAAGAACTACTCTGTGAATGAATCAGTGAATGAGGTTCTTCTTGCTGCCTGAAAGTAAGCTAGATAGTGAAGCAGATTTCCAATTTATGATTATTACATTCATGAATAAGATTCCTCAACTCCTCCTACAAATATTCTAAAGCATGTTGTAATTCATTGTAAGACTTTTATAAAAATCTACTCCTCAGCTTCTGTGTGCCTCAGTTAATCAGTAAAAACAAAACAATAACTCCTTATCTATTTTACAGATGCACTGTGGAGATGAATTCCATTAAAAAAAATTTAAAAATCCATTGTTCTGATGCTACACATTGAATCAAAAAAAACCCAAAAACCCCAAACTGGTTAGTTCTAAGCAACACTAGCTATGTCAGCCACAAACAACAAGAATTTCACATTTCAAAATTCTTGCCGTCTGCTATCAATATTCTTCTCCACACAGCCAAAACATAGGCTAATACTGCCTATTGTGAGGAAAACTAACTGTCCCAACTACAGTCAGCACAAGAACAAGGATTCAGTCCTTTTTTTTTTTTTTTAAAAAAGGCGCAGAAAGGGTACAAAAGCAAAAAAAAAAAATGAACTCATTATTGGTTGTAGTGTAAAACCCTGAACCTTAGGAAATACCTGAATTAAGGTTGGGTGCGTAGTAACTATAGGGCATATGTATTACCATGTTGTCCTTAAATACACGTTTGTGCCCTATTTCCTCCCATATACTCCTACCCCTTTCAGAACATGACAGACTTGTTCTGTAGTTGAACTGGGGGTGTGTATCAAATCATCAGCCTCTTTTTTAAGTAATTGTGAGATAAATGACGAGTAAGCCAGGATGACTGCAAAGGGAGAAGGATCATCTTTTGGTGAATGTTCCTCAGCCTCATCCCACCTTCTTTCAAGTGGCCACTACTTTGCATGATTTTCATTTTCTGGCTGCCCAATTTCAAAAGTTAGAAGTATCATTTACAGAAGTGACATGAACTCTTCATCTGAATATGAAGACAGGGAAAATTTATTCTGAATGTATGACGTATTACTACTACATAGCCTGAAAATATCTCAATTGCTAAGTTTGACACCCAAAAATAGGAAAATGTTCTTAGCAACCATTTCTTAGCTTGCCAATGAAAATTCAGAATACCACTAAGTGCTCACAGAAAAGTTAAGATGATGAACTAGATGAAAGAACTGAAACATATGAAGCTCAAAATACTAAAATAACATACAAAAAAGTTCCCAGGAGAATTAATAATATTCCGTTAAACAAGGTTAAAATAGTATGCATTAAATGAAAAGTGAGATCCACAATGAGTGTGAGGATTAAAAAATACAACTGCTGACCCTGCCCCTTTAGTGAACACTGCTCCGTCTGTACACTGAATGAAGCAAGGATCGGAAAGTGGAAAAACACTACTTTATTGGAGAGAACTAGGGATTTTTCTTGATGGAAATCAATCCATACAATGGGAAGAAATTAAATGAGAGATAGAAGGGAGGAAAAAAGGAAAGATAGAATGTGTTCTGACAGAGCACTAAGAATCAATGGAAAAAGTTACAAGAGGTGAAAAATACACTGCCCTGGTTTCGTTAACCTGGCACAAATGATCTTTGTGAAATCTGAATCTACGAAGGAAAACGGGTAGGCTGACAGAAACAAGGGAAAAATCCTCAAATATGCATTTCAGAAAAAAGATTCATAAAGGTAGCAAGGGAACCGCCAAGTTCATAATGAAGATAATGGCACTTTTTAAATTTCAAAAGCTTATCAAGAAATACTATATTACAGCTACAAGTCACTTACATATTCTACCATTTTGTTTTAACTATGGATCTAAGTGCTGAAGCATGCTGATGTAATACCTTAGATAAAGTTTTGTTTGGAAGTAAAGAAGTTACTAATTTTATTAGTCACTGTCAAAACCAAACCAGAGTATATAAAGCAGATTAACATGGACCTGACAGGTCAAGTTGGGGTTTAAGCCACAAAGGCAGCAAAAAGTTCCAGTAGAAGTGGCAGGATGAACTAAAATAGGAGAAACTCTGCAAAGCCACAAAAGTGAACTTAAAGGGCCTAAAGCCCTGTGACACTGATTTCACAATTAAAGCTGCAGCGGCAAATTAATTGTAGTATTTCCTAATATTTGTGCACTTGACCTTACACAGTTAATGTGGAGGTTGTGTGTTTTATTATCAAGGTTATGCAATTCGCTCTTCTATAAACATCTGAGATTTTGAAATTCTGTTCATCTAAAATAAATTCATTTTTCCTTCTAATGGGTCTCACAACCATTTTTTTCTTCACACTTTCTATATTGCAGATTCAGTCCCTCATCATTTAACAGAATTATTTTCTCATTTGTGAAGAAAGTAAGTTTTTGCCTTCTCCATAATTCTGATGTGAGGATCATAAAGTTCTAGCTAATTATGGTGCCATGTGAATATTAGCAAATATGTAAGTAACTTAGGCAGCTGATATAATCTGTATGAAACTTTAACCTAGACATGCTCATCACACAAGGATCCCAACTATCAGGATTACCATTCCCCTGAATTTCTCATTTCATGTATTTCAAGGATCCACATGCAAATGAAACCAAGAACTTCTGAAGCACTTCAAGTCAGAGCAGAAGGCAAGAATTGAGTACAAATTCAATCCAAAGCTATTCTGGCAAATGTTTCGCAGTGGTTGTGTTCTATGCAACAAGGCACAGTTGTTCTTGTCCTCAGAAATCCTGAATAACTAAATTATATGCTGTTCTGCTTATCAAAACTTGTAAAGTGTTGAGCTCTCTCATCCACAAACTACTACTTTATCAACTCTTCTGCTCCTCAGGCTCCCACTGGGATCTTCAAAATAATTATTATTGCTACACTCCAACTTCAAAAGTACTCTTTACAACTGATATTCTAATGACTGATGTAAAAAAATTCCCCTCACTGTTCATACAGACATGTTCCCCAATGTATCATAAACTTTGCATTGGGGTCAGAAGGGGAGAAAAGGGGAGAATACTTTTTCCCCCTTGGCCCCCTGTATCTTTTGACGCATAGTAGTCCTCTAGACAAGGAAGGAAGCTTCTGCTTGAGCAGAGAGAGTAATCTGCATGCACAGGCAATGAAGCTGTTCGCTCTGTCCACTCCTTAGAGTAGACCAAGCAAACAATGAGATTATTAGAAAACTGCTACAGAAAGAGCAAGGATCTGTCCGGTACCCTTCTTACCCCGGGTATCTACTTCCTCCACAACTAAACCCAACCTTTGTACACTGCTCGGTATTAAGAAAGATGGCTTATTAAAGCTGTTAATCTACTCAAGTGAACTAAAGTCTTCCTCAGAAAAACTCTTCCATAAGTTTTGGATGAACCTCAGATCAGGAAAGATACTGAAAAAAAAAGGATACTCTGCTGCTGCCAGCATTAAAAAGGCTCAATTCTGCCATCAGTATACTAGTATCAAATGGAAAAAATCAGCAGGTCACAGCACAGAGATTTTCTGTTTATAACTCTGAGCCTTCTGTAAGTTGAACATTTAATGTATATATAAACATATTCAATATAAAGAATACTTTTAATACATACCTCTATATACCCTATACTAAAATATAGACTACTAACACACATGTATGTCATGCTATACTTCTATGAAGTTATGCTTATATTTAGAAAATAGGATTTCTCTTATGCATTCACACCTCTCTTCTGGTTCCAGTCATGGGCATCACCAAGCTGCGCAGCATTATACGTATATCCATCTTGTTGGCGAAAATAATCATCAGTGCTGAATACAATGCCATCACGACTTTGACCCAGCAGAATACTGTTAAACAAAGCAAAAGGCAAAAATATTTTAACTTCTTTTTTTTTATCTGAAAAATAAAGACACAGAAAAAAAAAGCTACAATAAATTTAACTGTGCTCCATTTAAAAACTTCTTGCAAACGTCAAACGGGTTTATAAAAGTACGCTCATATGTATTACTAATAATTCTAATCTAGATTAAACCAATATATTTCCCCCCTTTCTATTATTTCTGTATTTGATGTTTCTTCTCCTTCACCCTCAAGAAATGTTTGTACCCATCTAAGTTATGGTTATATTGCAGTAAACTCCAAGTACCTCACAGTAATTTAATGTACTTACTAACACTTTCCATAACAGTTCTCATTTGGAATTGTCTCTAGAAACAAATCTGTTCATGAGGAATCTGGATGCAGCTGAGAAACAAACTGGATATTTAAATCCTTTTTCAGCACTTGCTGCTTGCACATATAATGTGGATCAAACAGGAACAGCAAAAGAAAGCTACGAATATTTACAGCAATTTCCCTATTTTACAGGAAAAAGTGAAAGATCACAATAAACTTTCAAGACTGTCCTACTAATGAAAGTCAGGATTACAGCAGAGTATCTGTATTCCTTCAAGATCTTATACTCTTCTATTCCAGTTCTAGAGCTTCTCCTGCAATCCTAGCGACACAGTCACCTCTAATTTCTCATCAGCTCTGGCCCTCGTTGGATCTATAAGGCACTGGAATTAATACTCAAAAGAAAGCAGTCCTTCTCTCGTTTAGTGTTTTGGTTTTGGTGTGGGTTTCCCCGGTTACTTTTCTGAAGCTTTAGCAATTAAGCCTATTTAAGAAAAGGCCCCAAAAGGTAATACGTTAGAAGTAGCCAACTACCAACAGAGACCTCCCCTGGATGAGCAGCAGTAAACTGCTACATGGGTTACCATGTTCTGTAGAACTGCAGTTTCGGGCTAACAGATGACAAGAAAAGATAGGATTAAGATAGGATTTTTTCATATCTCAGTTTCTATCAGGGAATTATGTTCTTTTCTCCCATCATTCACACTTCAGTGCTTATGGGGTGATAGGAAAGCCATGCATTTTACTATCCCTGTATGTATTACTTCAAATCAGGAAGAAAACAATCACTTCACAAATCACTTAAACCACTGGATTAGAGTGTTTCAGCTTGGTCTCTTAAGGCAATGATATTCCATGGTGACTTTGGGACACAGACCAATTTCAACTAAATCTGACGGTATATTCTCTCAAAAATACAATGAATTTTTATGGGGGGAAAACAAACAGACAACCAAAGCAGAACAAATTTGTAAACAAATGGATAAAACTCAAAGATTCAAATTAGAATCCATAAAGAGAAAAAAAAAAAATTCACAAAGCAAATTTCACATTTACCCTGTCTTCCAGGCCTGCTATTTCCAAGCAACAGAAGTATTTTACTGGCTAGAAGTTTACCTCATTGGTAGGTTAGAATAAGTTGCATTACATTCTGCTTCTTGCACAGCTAACGTTAAAGATTACGGAAGAAATTTAAATACATTTTAGTAAACACTAAATTAGCATGTGTATTGCACCGGTTTAGGAAAGCACGGAAGGATTCACAGTCTATTTTTATCCTAAGTAGATAAAATGGCACCAGTAAATCATATACCACATGCAAAAGCATTTTTTTAATATCCATTCCTCTCTTGCATAAATTACATGAGTTTACATAAGTTACTTGGATACCACACGCAACAGCATTTTTTCATATCTATTCCTCTCTTGCATAAAATACATAACATGAGTTTACATAAGTTACTTGGCCATGATTAAAACACGGACCAATTTTCTTATTTACAGTATGCTACATTTGCCAACTAACAATGCTAGAAAAACTGAACCCATTTTCCACACCGGCTTTTGTGTGCTGAATGCATATACACACATCTGTGAGTAAGGACCATCTGCCTTAATAAAACACAGCAAATAAAAACTGGGATTCTTCTACTACCTATCTGAGTAGACAGACATGTGCCTACAGCTCCTAGGAGTCTGACCATCAGGTTTCTGTAGGAATACATGTGAACTTAGGAATTGACACTAATGGGGCATTCATTTTTATTTCTAGGAACTGACTCTGCTCAGTGTGCTGGAGAATAATTCACAAAACACAATGACAAGGGTTTGCGGATCTCGCAAACCCATCAACGAAGTTTATTCTTCAAATGTTCTATTATGCATTGAAGTTCAAAATACACCACAATTTATTTACGAGCCTATATAACTGATATAACAGATCTAAACCAGTAAACTATGTTTGCAAGAATAATTCTAAAACTACAGAATTTGGGAAAGCAAAGTGACTACCAAAGAGGCCAGAGTAACAGAACCCTTACCCTATATGCAACAGACAAGCTACCACAAAGTAATGAATTTATGAACTGAAACTTCAGTTACTGCAGCAATGATTGTAGCCTCTTTCTAAATCGTGAAATTAAATCATAAAACATAACATTTTAAAAAGCTGACAGTAACCTCATTCAGAATTCACAGTATTTAAAGTTGACATCAACATTGATGTCATATGGAATAATTCACGTACTTCTAACATGTATTTGGAAATAAATTTTATCCCAGGCTGACAAACTGGGAAACAGCAACAACAAAAAGCACGACTCTGCAAAGAAAGCACCATTACTACCTAAACACAAAGAGAGATCATATTGCACTTTTCAGAGATGGAGAAAGGAAAAAAAGTAAGATAAATACATTTCTAATAAGAGACTCAAATTACAGATTAGTCAGCACCAGGATGTGCACGTGCCTGAAAAGGGTAGCAGTATTATCCAGCTGTTTTCTTCCAGCTTCCCCACCCTAAACCTTCCCTTCAACTGAACATCCACCTTTGAACATAGCAGGACAGTGAAACTAAAGCACATACAAAAATTGAAGCAGCTCACCTACTTTTTCCAGACATGCTATCTGATCTAACAGAAGACATTAGCTCAACAGATAAAACTCATCTTGTAGCCAAAATACTCATTTTAACTAGTCAGCAAACCAATACTTTTTTTTTTTTCCAGTGCACGTGTGCACACACTCAAATCCTGCCTTATTTTTTCTTCAAAACAAAAATGGTCCTGCATCCTGGTTAACTTACTTTGATAGATGATTTTATAATAAGAGAGATTTCTTAGAATCTAATAATTGACCTATTTAAAATAGCCAACGTACCACAGATGAGGCAAGACATAGACAATAACTAAGTATCATGTTAAAACCTGTAGTGTTAGTAAGCTATGTAAATGTTACTTTAAAAGCATTGCTGGTAACATTGTTTAAAGAAATATATAATTACAAGCAACAGCACACAAGTGTTTCTAGATTCAGCTAGAAATTCTAACTCTTAACTCTCCCATTCCACGACTGAGCTCTTAGGAAGAACGGTCCCAGATAAAGATGACTTGTCTATATACTTCTGTGTTCTGGGTTCAGTCAGGAAAGAGTTAACTCTCTTTACCATGGCTGCTAGGAAGCTGTTCCTGGATGCAAGGGGCAGCACTGAAGAGGTCTAAGCTGGCACTGGGGAATGCCTGCCCCAGATTCAAGGTCTTTCTCTGCTTCTGACCCTGCAGCTCCGTTCCCAGCTCTCGCTGTCTCGCTACAGGCCGTGCTGGGACACACAGTTCAGGCCCCTGACCCCAGCGGACCAAGAGAGTATTTCATTCCATAGTCCGTCATGCTCGGGGCAGAGGCGAGGAGGGGGTCCGGGAGCCATCACTCTCTCTGGTTCACTCCCGTATGCCTGCTGATCCTCACCCTGACTCCTGCGTTAGCTGCTTTGCTAACTCCTGTGCTGGCTCCTTCGGGGTTGTTTAGTTTTCCTGGGCTTGCTATCGCTGATAGAGTTTGCTCAGAATCTGCTGCGGCAGCGCTCGGGCTCCGGCCCTCAGGCTGCTGCTCTCGGCCTGTGATCGTTCTCGGCCTGCGATCGCTCTCAGGCTCTCTGGGTGTGACTCCCACTACTCAGCACCTGTTGTGCATCGGTCAGTGAGTGGTGAGAAATTGTATCATATTGTATAATATGTTTTATTTTCTATTGTTTTAATTATTTATTATTAGTAGCACTTGTATATCTTAATGTAGATTTAATTAGTAAATAGTTCTTATCTCAATTTTACAAGCTTCCTTATTTCTTTTTCCTCCGATTCTTCCCCTCCACTGGAGGAGGGGAGGGGGATTTGTGAGAGCGGCTTTGTGGTATTTTGCTAGTCAGAGTTAAACCACGACATCCTGATAACGGATTTAATTAAAAATGTACTTAAATGATAGCAGTATTTGTTCTTTCAACCTCATCAAGCTTTTTAAAATTCAAAATCATGTTTAGATATTTAAGGAGGAACAGAAAAATGCAACTGCTGCCAAGTTCAGTAGCAAAATATCCTAAAATTCCAAGTCTGTTTTCCTGTAACTTTTCGCAGCATTACAAGATCACATTATCATCTACTTCTAACTATAGCAGACTCCTGTTACTTGGGCTAAAGCTAACATTGTGGGGTACCTATCGGTCCAAATTATTTTTAAAATTTCTAACTAAATGGTGAATCACTTCCAAAAGCAAGTATGAAATACAGCATTTTTATCATGTTTCGTTATTCCAAGCTTTTCTCTGAGAAGGTCTGGATTAAGGAAGTGAAATCTGCAAAGTACATATGTTTGCTTTTCCTGCAAAAAACCTTTTGTAAATCTGACCAGACTATAGGATTTCAAATGTCTTGTGCACAGAAAATACTAGCGAAAAGTACTCGGTTTTGTATGAAGTAGAGCAGAAAATACAAAAATCCGCACTGCAGTAAGCCCATTCTTGAACAGAGCACTCTGTAGTGGCAAGAAGCTGATTCAGTACCAATACTGCATATTAAGAACACTTTTCTCCCAAAAAAATCTCAAGAATGGCAAGGGAAGGAACAAAATTGCCCTAAAATAGGAAGAACATTGGAAGCATAGTGGTACAAACACCGGAACAAGCAGCGTGGTACTGGCAGCAGTTAGGAAATAGGGCCAAGGAAAAGAGTGAAGTGCAAGGAAGAAATTGGTACAATGAAGCCGGGAATGAGATAAGACCACCAGCTGAAGTAGGGACAAGATAAATCTGGGAAGAAACTGTGGGGAGAAGGTGGAACCAAGAAATCAGCTTCAATTTTAGGAGCAGATGTGGAGCTTGTAAGCACAGATCAAAAGCCATGGATAGACAGCAATAAGAAAACAAAACTGGGAATAGATGGATAGAGATAGGAACTTGAATGAGCCTCAGGAGATGGGACTGTCTAGGTCAGGTGAACGCAGGAAATATATGGAGGAGATGAGGGGAGCTCCCCAGTGACCAGGAAAACACTAATTTTATGCTCATATTTAAGGCAAGTAAGGACAAGGACCCAAAGAACTAAAGGCTGCTCAACCTCACCTGACCTCAGCTCCGGGAAAGACAATGGAGTTCATCCTCTCAAAACCTATTTTCAAACATGTGAAGAAAACAAAGGTAATCGAGAAGAGTCAGTGTGGGTTTTGCAAAAGACAAATCATTCTTTATTGACCAGAATGAATTGTCTGATGAAACAACTGCCTCCGTGGATGAGGACACAGTGATGAATGTAGCATACTCAGAAATTATCAAGGCTTCTAACATCATCTCCTAATCAATAACAAGAAGAATACAGCTAGGGATGGTAGTGGGACCAATTTTTTCAGTACCTTCGTTAACCTGGATGATGAGGAAACTTGCAGATGACACCAAATTAGTAGTGATGCCCGACATACTGAAGAGTAGGGCTTCTATCCAAAATAACACAGAGAAACTTGAGCACTGGGCTAAGCAAAACAGCATGAAACTCAACAAGGAAAAGCACGAAGTTCTGCAGCAAGTGAAAGATAAGCATCAGGAGAGGATGGAAAACAACTGGTTGCGCAGCTCTGCTGAAAAGGATCCAACGATTACATCAAACTGGAGATGAGCAAGAGAAGAGCAAGCCACATGCTGGAGTTTATTAGAGAAAATGTGGCAAATAGATCAATGGAAGTTATCATCCACACTCTACCTGGCTCTTGTGTGGTCAGTTCTGAAATACTGTGTCCAGTTTGGAGCTTCCCAGTTCAAACAACACGCTGAAAAACATGAAAGGGTTGAACAGATGGCTACCAAGGTGGCCAAGGGCATACAACCTACCAGGAGAGGTTAAAAGCAGCTGTGCTTGTTTAGTCTGGCAATGAAGACAGTAAAAGGCCATCCGATATCAGCCTATTACAGTGAATATCCCCTTACCTGAAGGGAAACTGCCAAGATGAGCCAGATTCCACCAGGTAACAGCACATGGTATAACACAGGAGAACATGGGCAAATTGGCTTGGGAACTTCAGTTTGGAGATTAGGAAGGACTTCTTTATTAAGAGGATAGTACTGCACCAGATATGTTTGGAGAGTCTGTGGAATCTCTGTACTTGTTGGTTTTTCAAGATCGAGCTAGACAAAGACACAGCTGATCTGATCCAACAATGGTGCCAGACCTGCTCTAAGCAGAACGGTGGACTTGTTGACCTCCAGAAACCTCTTCCAAAAAATACGGCTGTGATTCCAAACAGTTGCGATGGAAGAGTCAAAACAAACCACAGACTTAAGTGGAAGTTTCAGGACAGACATAGGGAGCAGGAAGAAAAGCACCTGTACTTACAAACCCTCACTTCGCACAAAATGCAGATAGGAATCCAAGATTCCTGGGTCTCACTTACTGCTCTGCTGTCATTTCATTCTTGGGAAACCCACTTGGAAGATGCATCCCGTTCCCTTCTACTGGTGATCCGTACAGATGATGCCGATTTTCTGCTTTTCCTTCATAGCCATTTTGCTAGCCCTACTGGTAGAGGTTTGTCTGCAGGTGCCAAAGATACCAAGCCTACAAAGATAGCTGTGGGTCCTAATATGGCATCAGAAGACTGTGTTTGCTGTCCTAGTCTGCACAGCAGAAGTCTGATGTTACACACACACACACAGTCAACTTATACTAAGACTTAATCACTAATACATGTATTTTCCTCATAGGGAGACATTAATTCTGGGTTCCTCCACCACTATGTACCTGAGACACTGCAACATGACTTCATGGGAATTAACAATTGCAACCAAGCCTTGAACATGTGAAACTGCATATAACTGAATACATGGAAAGACAAGTCCCACACAGTTCAAATCCCGTACCCAAATGTGCTGACTATTCTTGACCTGGATCCCATAGCGCCCACTTTCTCCTCTGTTAAATGAAATTCGTAATTGATTTCACTAGCAAGAGATGAAAGAAGCAAGAATATGTGTTCATAAAATCCTGAAGATATTTAGAATCTTTCAGATAATAGAATCTTTCAGATAATATGAATAACATACTGGGAGAAAGATTCAAAGACAATTCAGCACACAAAACCTGGACACCAAAATATTCTATTCTATTAGATATCTTCCCATTACAAATTATCCAATTCTTGCACCGAATGAGGTAGCATATTTTTTCCACAGTGTTTTTTTAAGTTATTTTCTGTGTAGCTTTCACATATTAAAGCAGTTATTGTAATAATATCCACACAGGCTCATGCAGTTTCAGAAATGCAGGTCTGAAAAACAAAGCACTCAGTAACTAGAAAATTACAAATATGTAAGCTAGAAATTTCTAATAGAAATTTTTTCTATGACACAGTGACCACAGTCCACAGTCTCCTAAATATCAAGGGAGGGGAAAACCAACACAAAACCCAAACCAATCAAACAGTAAGGTTATTCCTTTATACAAAAAACAAGGAAGAAAATGATCACTGTATCTATTTAATAGAGTCTTAGCATACAACAGAAGGTAGCCACAGAAGACATCCTATTTGTGACATACAGATTCTGGATGAAGCTCAGTCAGTTTTTTTGATATGCAAAAGAAACCTATTTTGACTTAACAGAGATAGTGTCTGTGCTCTATGTCAACTTACATGCTTTTTAAGCTAGGCTAAAAAAAAAAGTGAAAACCCAAGTTGAAGTGGTACCTTTTTTTTTAACCTGTCAGACTTCAACAAGTATATTTTTAAGGGAAAATAATACTTTTCTTGTGTGTTGTTCACACATAAACACAAGTTGACAGACCATTGTATGAAAAAAAAGGGAATGAGATTAGGCCCAGCTTCATCACCATACTGAAAACAAATTAAGTATTTCAGTGCAGCAAAATTCCTCTAAAGGGCCTGAAAATTTTTGCATGGGCATTAAAAAGTACTCCTGCTTCAGTCAAATTAATGCTGCTAGATTTGAGGGAGCATTTTTTTAAATTAAGGTATTTAAGAACAACAAAAGGGACAGACCATCAAAAACGAGTACACCTGAAAGTTTCAGAGTAAGAGATTATGCTATTTAATGGATATAGAACATTTTATACAACATAAACCAGCTCCTGTTCATCAAAACTCTAAAGGAGGCCAAAGCAACACACTTTTTTTTTCAATTTTACTGTCATATGTTCTCATTAAGTAAAATTTAGTGCATTTTAATAGCCTAATTTACAAATACCAAAGTTTGCCAAGTGCTTGCAGATAATTTCTTAAAATTTCTTTAAAAATTCTGATTAATAAGCTTTCCAAGTTTCAAGTCTTTACTTACCGAGAAAGTGTTGATTTCCCTGAACCAGGTAGGCCTCTTAAGATCAGGAGGAATTTCTGTGAACAACTGAATCTTTCTTCAGGTAACTGCAAGGAAGAAAAGATGTGCATTCCTTCTGTACTGTCAGCTTTTAGATCCTTCCAAATCTCTTCCCTGGTTTCACAGAAACCATTATTTTGGAGTCCGTTCCGGTCATTATTTCCATTTCTGAAGACCTGAGTAGTATGAATACCAATATGACCAGCATAGTTGGTACTTTGATCAAGCAACAGATCATGATTGTTGATATCAGTATTTCCATGGTAACCATGATAATTTTTGTAAGGAAGTTCACCATTTGGAGAAGGGAAAGCATTTGTGTTCTGTGGTGGGGAATTAAGTACTGGAAAATGCGACTGATGACTGAATCTAGGAGGAAGAAGTCCCTGAGGTGCTATAAAAGACTCTGTTGACTGCCAAGCAGGTCTGAATTCAGGCACTGAGTAGTTCCAATATTTAGAATCTAGTTGCTCATTAAAGGTATCTTCTGTTTTCCAGCCACTTGTTTCCATGACAAACTGCTGCCCGTTGCTTGTTTCCTGACTATTCTGCTGCCCAAAGAAACACTGTCCATTCCCATAAAATGGTTGTGGGCTGCCCAACAATCTACGCTGATAATCCTCTTGTGAGGTTTGATTACCATCAGACGGAGAGTATTGTTCCTGAGAAGTTTCAGTTTCTTTCTCCTGGAAATCGGTATCCAAATTTTCATTTTCCAGCTGGTGAATTTCTTTATAGAACTGGTCCAGTTCATCATCTATTTTTGGTACAGCAGAAGAAATGGTCTGCATCTTCTTTTCCTCGTTTCTTTTATCTCTGTTTTCATGCAATTCATTCTGATCTCCCTCACCGCTTCGGCATTCATTGCAACTGCCGGATTTGTCCTGTTTGTTACTTTCAGCAGGCTTATATATCGGTCCGATAAATTCTTTGCTTGTAAAAAACTCTTCATCTGATGCATTTCTACTTACTGAGAATGATGTACTGCTATTTCTAATGTTATCTTCACCAGCATTATTTGTAATAAAAGGGCCTTTATTTTCTTCAACTTCAGTGTCATTTATTGGTGCAAATGGAGGATTTATGTTTGGCACAGTTGCTGAATCAATCGGCTGACTGAGCACCAGATCATATACAGGGAGCACTTCATTCGATGTTCCCAAGACACCAGCAGGTATTTCCTCTTGCTTCTGCATTTCATGTTGCCCTTGGTTATCTGAGGCACACGCTGGTATCAAATCATCCAAGGGTCTCTCAGCATCTACCTCCTCTTGAACACCTTGGTTATCATCATCAGAGAGTTTCTCGTCAGCTCCTTCTGTTGACTTCATTTTTTTAGGACATGGTTCAATTGTGATTTCATCCTGATACTCCAAGAGCCTTACTCTACTTTCAGCATGAAGCATCTTAGAGAAAAATTAATACATGATCAGCATGCACACTTTTACAGTAAAGTATTAAAAAAGTTATTCAGTCCTATGATATGCACCCTCTTTTGTATTCCAGAGGTATATATAGAATGCAATAAAAAGCAATAATCATTTTATTATAAATCAAGTGCCAAGTAGTTTATTCAGCAGATCTCTCCCCAAAAAACTAAATGTAGTTCCAAACAAGAAAGAAAGTAGAACAAACCCTCTAGTTGGAGAAATTCTGTTTCTGTCAACATACCAACTTTCTAGGAGTAAATATTAATAAAACGTCACATGCTCTTAATTCTGGACAAGAAATAAAATTTATCTGAAAAGGATCTGTAGGTGTTATTAAGGGTAGATTTGTAAGCAATGGTAGTAATCTCATGTTCACTTGCAGAACTGACAAGAAAAGGTGTTACTCTGGGCGTTTCCTCATCTACTATCCGAAGGATGAGAATTCTGCCATTCTTCATCTCTGAATGTCTAAACCAAGGAGATTTTACTGTTTGCATTTAACTTCACTACTTGTAAGACAGCACTGATGTCAGAAGGGGAAGAAATACGGCCATGCAACTCTCCTTCTTCCGCAAAAACAACCAAGCACAACCATCAAACAGTAGAAACTACTACTACTATGTAATGAAAATAATGATAATATGTAATGAAAAGCAAAACAGCAGTGGAAAAAAACCCCAAGCAATACAACCACTCCACATTTGTCAACCAACGCCCTGCCAGTCCCCAAGCAACAAGAGAGAGCACCCCAGCCAACTCCCCCCAACTTATACACTGAACATGACATTTTCTAGCATGAAATCTCCCTTTGGTTGGTTTGGGTTAGCTGTCCTGGATGTGGCTTTGAGCAACCTGGTCTAGTGGAAGGTGTCCCTGCTCATGGCAGGGGGGTTGGAACTAGATGATCTTTAAGGGCCCTTCCAACCCTAACCATTCTATGATTCTATGATTCTGTGTCCCCTCTCAGCTTCTTGTTGCAAATATGCTGGGAACACAGGTGCAGTATCAGAAACTGAGAAAAGTCCTTGAGTTGGTATAAACATTGCTTGGCAGCAACTAAAAACATCTGCATGCTGTCATTATTCTTCTTAGCACAAATCCAAAACATAGCCTCATACTAAAAACATCAGTGAGTTACCAACATTCTTCCTGCACAAATCCAAACCACAGCCTCATACGAGCTCCTGTGAAGTAACTCCATCCCAATCCACACCAGCACACTTTGACAGACTTTCTCCGACTATCCTTTGGGACAGTGAAGCTGCATGTGAAAGCATCCCCACCTGTGTTCCTGGGGAGGACTGAGGAAGGATGTATTGAGAAGTGCAATCCGTGCGACAGCCTTGTCTCCCGAATGGGATCTGCCGTATTTCTGTAAAGAACTGCTTTGAAGTGTTGAACCTGAGCTAGCACATGCGATTCACCCGACTGGCACTTGCAAGACTAAATTACTCGTTTAACTAACCGGTCAAACATCCAGAAGTCTCAACTAAGTAACACGGCCTTAAGCTCCAGCTGTACAACAAATTCCAAAATGGGAAAAGAAGGCCTGTGTGGCAGAAGTTAAAGACGGGGGGGGAGGGGATGGCTTGGTTTTGCCTGTGTGGCCACCTCTTCCGGGGTACGGAGGTGGCCGACATGCCGGCCCGCGTCCCTCAGAGGCAGGCCGCACCTCGGAGCCGGGCGGGGCGCCCGCG